CCCCCCCCCCTTTTTTTTTTTTAAACTTACTTCTGCCCTGGGCCATTTTCTGATGAGCTTCTGTCTCTGATCTGACATTGCCTTTCACATCCATCTTTGTGCTGTTGCCAATCTGTTGTGTATAAAGTCAGTGCTTTCATAAGCTGGCTGAGATGGAATCTCTCTAATTATTTTTGTGATCCTTTCCTGTCTTCAATGAGGGAAGCCTTGTCAAGCTCTGGTAGGTGCCGACCGATCCCTCTGTCATGTGGAAGGTAATGAATTTCTGCAGCTCTCCTGCTCTCTCTGCCTCCCAGGCTCTGGCTGGGAAGAGAGCAGGTCCTGTCCAGCCGGGAAAGGCGTGTGCAGCCCTGGCTGCAGACACGGCCTCCCTCTTTGGCTCCTGGCTGGGTGGGTGAATGGGTTTTTCCCTGCTTCTTTGTTTCTGGTGGAGCTGCCTTTTCAGGTGGTTACACCCTGCTATCCCAGGAAGCTGACGTGTGTTCAAAGGCTCTGCCAGTCCCTTGGCACTCGCCTTGTGCTCCAGCTTACAGGGACGTGCCAGTGGAGGGGAAGGTGTTCCCAGCTTCCAGACTGACGTGGGGACCAGGATAACTGCAGGGCTGGGTGCAATTCCCTTCGGGCTCTTGTCTTTTCTCCCCATGCTGAGCTGTGAGCACCACCAGCTCCTGCAGCAACAGATCCCTCTTGGCTGTGCTGCATTCAGCCTCTCCTGGGGCTCCCCACACCACGTGCAAATACAGCCCAAGGACAGCAGGCTCCTGCTCCAGCCTCACCAGGGCTGGCAGGTGGCTGGGACAAAAATCCCTGCCTCCTTCTGCCTCGTCAATGGTGGCATCAACGTGCCAGCACCCCAGGGCTGCCAAAGTGGGGCTGAGCCCCCTGTCCCCACCACTGTGCTGACACACGGGGTCGTTTTATGGCTTCGCAGTGCTTGGGCTGGAGGTGGCACCAGCACAGATATTGGGACCTTTCACCCCTATGAAGGGGGAGAACCAGCAAACTTTGTGCCGGGCTGAGGGTTTGCCACGAGGGCTGCAGCCCTGGGGGATTTTGCTTCAGCTGCGGAGCCCGGCGAGATGATTTGAATAATTTAATACCGGGCTGTGACCAAGCCTGGCGAAAGGGTAAAGGAAACAAAGAGGCCCCCGGCCCCGAGCAACAATAGCTCTTGAAACGACAAGCCGAGGCACGTCCGTGTGCCGCAGGCAGCGAGCAGCCCCAGCAAATAGGCCGGTTGCATTCCTCACGTCTGCTGCTTTGTTTCCCTGCAGCAGCTCCTGCTGAAAGCTCGGAATCGGGGCTTCTCCCTTCTTCGCCTTGTTTTGTTGCAGGAAACAAGGCGCAGAGGTCAGATCTCGGTGCTGACGGAGCGGTGATGTGCTGGGCTGAGAATCCCTGCTCCGTGTTGTGCAGCCCCAGCAGTGAGAGGTCTGGTCGTTTTCCTGTGGGGAAAGGTTGAGGGCAACGTGCATGGGCTGCTTGTTCCCATGCCTGATAAGATTACACATCCCGCTGACCTCGGGCCGTTGCTGTCAGCAGGAAACAGCCCAAACCTCCTGCTGATCCCTGAGCTGATTTCATTTGGTTCTGGCACCCCTCTCTTGCTTGCAGCCCCGTTCCCACGAGGCTTTGCAGAAAGGCAACTTCTGTCCATCCATCCTCTCCCCCGTTTCTTTTCTGCAGGAAAAAGTCCCCAAAACAGGGAGTGAGCTCCCCCAGCACTCCTTTCCGCCTCAGCTTTGGAAGTGTTGCTTTTCCATCCTCTGATTTATGCTAACCCAGGCGGAGGGATGCTGCTGGAGGAAGCCCAGATGGGTTTGGGGACGGACCCGTCACCGGGGATGGGCAACATATTGCTTCTACAAAGCTGGGTGCCCTGCCCGGAGGTGGAGTGTCAGCAGAGTGTGAGCCAAACGCCTGGCTGTCATGGTGAGTGAGGGGAAAGGGTTCATTAGGGAGAGGGGGAAATGAGGGGATCTTTGTTTGCAGGGTCTGACACCTCCGTGCCGTCCTGCTGGCACCCCCAGCGCCTTCTGATGGCTTTGTCAGCTCCGGGCTAATTAGGCTGAGGTGCTCTTGAAGCGAGGTTAGAAAAGGAAAAACTTCAAACATCAAAGAGATGGAGCTAATAAAGCCTGGCGGGGGGAGCAGAACCCCACAGCCCTGTATGGAGCGTGGTTCTGAGTCTTGCCTTGGGCTCTGGGCAAACCCAGCTGGGACAAAGGCCGTCCTGTGCTGCCATGGGGGGTTTTACTGTGAGCTGGGTGAGTGACAAGGGGGAGAGGCTGAGCTTTTCTTCCTCCGCCTCCACGTGTGAATGGAAATCTGCCAGCACGTGTGGCCGTGCTGCTGCTGCTGCCCATGCGGGGGCTGGTGAGGGATGAACACATGCTGGCAGCCCGTCAGCTGGTGCTGCTCATCTCTGGGGAAAAGGGGCGAACGTTCCCATATGCTGCTCGGCTCTGGGAGGGCGAGGAGGGGGCTGGGACAGATCTCCCTTTATTCTGCATCCCACCCCACCTCACCCCATTCTGTCTCACGCTAGCCACTCTCTCTCATCTCATCCTATCCCACTGCATCCTATAAGACCCCATCTCATCTCCCTCCATCCCACCCCACTCTATTCTATACCATCTCATCCAATCCCTCTCTATCCTATCCCACTCCATCCCATTCCATTTCACTCCATCCTGTACCAATCCCATCCATCCCAGTTCATCCTATACAACCCCATCCCAGTTCATCCTCTACAACCCCATCTCCTCTTGCCCCATCCTATCCCACTCTATCCTATACAATCCCATCTCACTCCACCCCATTCACCCCCATCCCACTCCACTCACCTCCATCCCGCCCCCCCCATCCCATCCACCCTCTCCTATCCCCCATCAGGACATCCCCGGCCGCTGCCCCACGCGGTGCCCCTGAGCCCCGTTCTCTCCCCGCCCGTCGTGCGGGATTCGGGGCGGTTTCGCTGCGGTTGTCGCCGCCCCGGGGCGGAGTCGGCTCCGGGCAGCGGAGCGGTGCGCGTCGCGGGGCCGGGAGCGGTGCGCGATGCCGGGCTACGACTACAAACTGCTGGAGCGACCGCGGCGGAGGGTGCTGTGCCCGCTGTGCGGGAAGCCCATGCGGGAACCCGTGCGGGTCTCCACCTGCGGACACCGCTTCTGTGACACCTGCCTGCAGGAGTTCCTCAGGTGAGCCTCTTTACCAGCCCTCTCCCCCCCCCCCGCTCCGACACTGAAACCATCCCTCCCCGACGTCACGTAGGGAACCCTTTGGGTGCTGCCGGGGTTTGCGGGGTTGAAGGGGGACGGGGGATTCGTGGGTGCCCCTCACGCGTGACAGCCTCCTTCGGGCTCAGAGGAGGAGGAGGAGGCGGCCGAGCCCGGCGTCTTCCTGCCGGGGCCATGCAGGAAGGAAGCGGTGGGGCCCCCCCATCCCACAACCCCCGAACCCTACGGCTGTGTTTGGGGGGCATCCACGCGTGGGGCGGCCCTTTCCCCGCGTTCCGCCGCCTCCGGTTCAGCCTCGCCCCGCACCGACGACCTTTGCACGGGGGGGGGCGGGGGGGGGGGCACGGTGGTTTCTGCGAAACCGGGCGTTCCCGGGGCCGGTGCCAGGCTGAGCCGCGCCGCGCTCCCACCCGCGGCCGTGGGGATCCGGGGACGGACGGCGGGAGACCCGCACGGTGCAGCCGGGAGAGGGTTGGAGGGTTGGGGGGGGGGTTGGGGGGACCTTCTCGACGTGAAGGTCAGAGGGAAGGACGGTGCCCCCGGCGCTGCCTCAGCACATTCCCTGCCCGGTGGAGCGTGAGCAACGGGGCGGCCGCGTCGGGGATTGCGCCCGGACCCCCGGCCCGTTTGGGATCGTGGGCCCCCCGCCCCAACGGGGCACGTGGCAGGGCTGCGTCGGACCCCCAGCGCTTCTCGGTCCCCAGCGGCGGGGTATGGGGGGGGGAAGGGGGGGCCATGGGGGTGTCACTGTGTGCATTGCCATCCCAGTGCCGTGTACCGGGTGGCGCCGTGGGGTTGGTCACTGCTGCATCTTGGCAGCCCCATTCGTGCCAAGAGCACATGGAGTGGTCTGATATGAGGGGGACGGGGGACTTTGTGTCCCCAGTTACCAGAACTGGGGTCCTGGCTGTGCATCCCCATGGAGGGTGCCCAAAGGTGCCACAACAGTGGCTCCCAGCCAGCTGTGCCAGGTCACCCATTCAGCTTTGTCACCGTTCCACACCCCATGCCATCCCTCTGTGGGTCACGGTGACATCGGGGCGGTGTTCACCAGCTGTGTCTCAGCGATGACTTTGAAGTGTGGCACTCATCCCATTGGGGGGCATCTCTCTGTCCCACTGGGGTACTCCCAGCATACTGGGGACTCTGCTCCAAGCACGTTCCCCTCCACCCCACCTCTCCGGGGCCATTTCCTGCTGAGCAGCTTCCTACGGGGCCGTGCATCCGTGCTGCACATCTGGCGCCCAGCTGTTGGGCCCCAGCTCATGGGGCAGCCCCACCAGCCCCATCCCAGGGCGTGTGAAGGGGCTCCAGATGGTGCCATGCCCCCAAGGGGGGGGTGTCTGGCGGGGGCATTTCCCAGCCCCGACAGATGGAGTGGCCGCCGCCAGGATTAGGGCTCCCTGAGGGCTGGATTTGGCACGCCAGGGGGGCTCCATGGATGTGTCAGCCCTCATCCCGACCCCTCTCTCTTTTTCCTGCAGCGAAGGCGTCTTCAAGTGCCCCGAGGATCAGCTGCCCCTGGACTACGCCAAGGTGAGCCCAACAGGGATGTCCCCCTGTCCCTACTGTGTGTCTGGCCCAGCCCTGGTGCCTGGCACGGGCGCTGCTATGGATCAACAGCTCTTTGTGCTGCGGCACTGGGAAGCGGAAACCCGCTCCCGACAAAGGGCGCTTGTTGGTGTGCTGGCTGGGGGGAGTCTGGCCCTGGGCACTGTGCCCACAGCTCACTGCCCCCCCTCCCTCCCCCTCCTTCTCCCCCCACCTCTAGATCTACCCCGACCCCGAGCTGGAAGCCCAAGTGCTGAGCTTGGCCATCCGCTGCATCCACAGCGAGGAGGGCTGTCGCTGGAGCGGGCTTATCCGACACCTGCAGGTAGGATAGCGGGCAGGGAGCCCCCCACATCACCCCTTACCCCGACCCTGACCATCCCTGTGCACCCCCCTCCCCCAGGCCCACCTGGGCACCTGCGGCTTCAACGTCATCCCCTGCCCCAACCGCTGCAGCACCAAGCTGAGCCGCCGCGATCTGCCCCAGCACCTGCAGCACGGCTGCCCCAAACGCCGCGTCCAGTGCGAGTTCTGTGCCGGGGACTTCACCGGGGAGGCCTTCGAGGTGGGCACCACTAGGGGACAGTGTGACCATGGAGATGCTGTGTGGGGATGTGGGCTGGATGGGGCTGCATTGTGGGGTTAAGGTGGCTGTGGAGGATGTGGGTGGGCTGTAGGGCACCGTGGGGACACAGATGGGGACATCCTGCTGCTGGGGACACAGTCTGGCTGTAGGGACGAGCTGGATGGGGGATGCCCTGCAGGACACAGCCTGGCTGTAGGGATGGAGCTGGCAGTAATGACACTGCCTCTGTCCCCAGGGCCACCAGGGGACATGTCCTCAGGAAAGCGTGTACTGTGAGAACAAGTGTGGGGCACGCATGATGCGACGCCTGCTGTCCCAGCACACCTTGACCGAGTGCCCCAAGCGCACCCAGCCCTGCACCTACTGTGCCAAGGAGTTTGTCTTTGACACCATCCAGGTGAGACGGAGCCATGGGGATGGAGGCACCCCGTCGTCTCTCAACCCCAATAACACCCAGCTTCTGTCCCCAGAATCACCAGTACCAGTGTCCCCGGTACCCCGTGCCCTGCCCCAACCAGTGTGGGACGCCCAACATCGCCCGGGAGGATGTGCCCACGCACCTGAAGGAGAGCTGCAGCACTGCCATGCTGCTGTGTCCCTTCAAGGAGGCAGGCTGCAAGCACAGAGTGAGTATCCCCAGCCCCCTGCCGATGTCTCCATCCTGTCCTGGTGTCTGTTGTGCCCCATAGCACCCTTACAGCTCTTGTCCCTGACACGTATCCTATTGCTTGTGGTGTTCCTGCTCCAACTGCTTTGATCATCCAAGCAATTGAGCAATCTATTGCTCGAGGTCTCTTCCAACCCAAGCCATTCTATGATTCTCTGCTCCATCTCATCCCTCTGGCCACATGGTGTCTCCATCCTGTCCTGCCCCCATCCTGTCCTGCATCTCTCCACTGCTGCTGTCCCAACCAGGTGTCTGTGTGCCATCCCTTATCCCTATGGCATCCCTCTGCCATCCCTTCCAATACCCCAACGCCATCCTCATGCATCCCACCCCACCATTCCTGTGCGTTCCACGGGGTCCCCATGCTGACGATTCCCACTGTCCCCAACAGTGCCCCAAGCTGGCCATGGGTCGGCACCTGGAGGAGAGCACCAAGGCACACCTGGGCATGGTGTGCGCCCTGGTGAGCCGGCAGCGGCAGGAGATCCTGGAGCTGCGGCGCGACGTGGAGGAGCTGTCGGTGAGCAGTGATGGGACCCTCATCTGGAAGATCTCTGACTATGCCCGCAAGCTGCAGGATGCCAAAACCCGCAGCAACTACGAGTTCTTCAGCCCTCCTTTCTACACCCATAAGTACGGCTACAAGCTGCAGGTCTCAGCGTTCCTCAACGGCAACGGGAGCGGGGAGAACAGCCACCTGTCGGTGTACATCCGCGTGCTGCCGGGTGAATATGACAACCTCTTGGAGTGGCCCTTCTCCTACCGTGTCACCTTCTCGCTGCTGGACCAGAGCGACCCGTCGCTCTCCAAACCCCAACACATCACCGAGACCTTCCACCCCGACCCCAACTGGAAGAATTTCCAGAAGCCGGGGGCGTCGCGGGGGTCACTGGATGAGAGCACCTTGGGTTTTGGTTACCCCAAGTTCATCTCCCACGAGGACATCAAGAAGCGTAACTACGTGCGGGACAACGCCATCTTCATCAAGGCCTCGGTGGAGATCCCCCAAAAAATCCTTTCCTGAGCCCCCGATAATGGGGGACAACGCGGTGCTGTCCGTGGTGCTGAACCCCGGGGCTGGGGGCTCTCGGGGGCAGCGGTGGTGTCTCTGGGGGTGGGAGCCCACTGCCCCTTCTCAGGTGCCCCGGGGGGGGGTATAGGGGGCTGTGCCCTCCATTTCCTCGCTCCCCACCACCAGCCTTGTTGGGGACATGGGGCTCCCCGCTGCCCAGAGCCATATTTTGTAAGCTGGTGCCCCCCCGGCACACATTGGTTATTTATTACCCCAATTTTCCTTCCCTGACTTTTTTGTTTTTCAATAAACTCTTCTTGTATTTATTAGGAGCTCCTTCGTGTCTCCCCTGCACAGAGAGTGAGCTGGGGGGGCTCTGTGTTCCTGAGGGGTGTGCAAGTAATCCCTGCTCCCCTTCCCACGGCAGATGGGTGCAGATAGGGGCAGTTGATTCAGTATTCAGTGACAGTGCATGGTGCCAGGGTTATTGTGGGGGGCCATTGGAGCACCAGGAGAGAGCAGGTGGGGCGCACAGGGTGATGGTGGGGGCACTGGGATGGTGACATGGTGCTGGTGGCACGTCCTCGAGCCAGAGTGGCACATGACAGTCCTGGCAGTGGGACGAACCCAGTGCCAGTCTGGTGCCCAGCGCTTCCATTGGCCTCATTGTCAACTGTGATTGGGTCCACATCCACTCCTGGTGTGCAGTGCCAGCCCATGCTGGTGCCCGGTGCTGCCCCACTGTGGTGGCTGGTATCCTGGATTGGTGCTCGAAGTTATCCCATATTAGCGCCTCTATCATCTCTTACTTGGCCGACAGCAGGCGCTACCAGTGTCTGATCCTGGTGCCCAGTGCTGTGCCATCCTTGTTCCTCCCCGCCCTGCCGCCCATAGCAGCCGGTACCGCAGCCCGGTGCCGCCCGTCCCGCCGCTCTCTGCCGCCGCCGTGCGGTTCTCCCTCCAACCTCCGCCATCCCTGTCGGCCCTGACGTCAGAAGGATAAAACGGAGACAAAAGCGCTTTTCTCGGCCTTTATTCAAAGCCCGGTGGGTTTCGCCCTCCCCGGGACCTCCTCCTTCCGAGGGCGCGGGCGTTCGGCGGGGCTTTGGATTTAGCGCATCTCAGGACGGCGGCCATCCACCCCCATGGAATTCACGGCTTGGACCCAACTGCCTCGAAATTAGCTTCAATGAACGAGGTGAAATTCTCCAGTAAGTTGATCACCACGCGGCCTCGCAGCACTGGAGGAGCATTGAGGTGGATGGGGGAGGGCTGGGAAATAGATGGAAGGCGTTGGTCCCAGCAGGCGCGGTTTGAACCCATCGTTCTGCTCTCCCCTCTCGCAGAGATGTCCTCACGTGTTCACTCCCATCATGGAGATGTCATCGTGGGTGAGGGGACAAATCCCCCTTGCTTCCCACCTGCTGGGTCTCCAGATGCTGGAAGTCCCCTTTTATGAATCCCCTCACCTTTTCTCAGGCCACGGCCCCAACCCTCCCCCTGCACCCAATGCTGAGCGATTCCAGCTGTGGGTGCTGCACCCCTTGTGTTCTGTTCCCACCCCCAGCACAGGGCTGGATGGGCTGCGAGGCCCTTCTGCCCCCCCCCACCAGAAGCCACCACCACCACCGCCCTGGGTTCAAACTGCAGCAGGATGAGAGAGGAGACGCCAAGGTTTTATTGAGTAGAAAAGTATTTGGGGCGCAGCCTCAGCCTGAACCGTGCCTCCCAAGATCAGGTGTTCAGAGAAACGCTGCACGAAAAGCCTGGGCACCTCAGTTCTTTCATAGATGTATATTTACCATTCACAAAGACTGCAGGAATACGATTAATGAACAATAAATTAGGACTTCATGTTGCTATCGTTTGGCATAACACAATCAGGCAAGTTTTCTTCCTTCCGAAACAGGAGGCGACACAAGCCGACACATCATTGAACCCATCTGTAGGCAAATTGATGAAGTTTGCTAACGAGCCATTGCTGGAGAGTGGTACACTGAGACCTGAAGGAAGGACAGAAGTGCACCGACGTGTGCGAGGAGCTGGGAAAAGCACCCTGCTAAAGCTCTGAGCCCCAAACATTCCTTACAGCCCAGGGCTACACGTCTAAATTAAAACAAAATAATACAAATCAATGGGTTTCTTTTTTTCCTTTTTTTTTTTTTCTCCTTTCCAGGACCTCCAGCCAACTCTTGATGCCACTTCAGAGCTCGTTAAGGTCTGTTATGTTTTCTTTGTTCTTTCTCAGTGCCATAGGATGTCCCATCATTCCTACACCATGCTCATGGAGGAGGGAGATACTTAAGGCTTCGTTTCCCCAGGGCTGTGAGGGAGGCTCACCCACACACAACGCTACTCAGACCCACGCTACTGGGCGACATTCATACAGAAACATTACACTTACAGCTTACAGTGTAGAGCAGGAGTTTCCTTTTTTTCTTTTTTCTTTTTTTTTCAGCCAGTGTACATATAAAGAATTGATGTGTTTTGCTTTTCGTCTGTTTTTAATTTCCAAACTTGGTGGTGATCATTATGTTCAAGTATTAGTTAAGGGAGAGGTTTTCTGCTTACAACAGATTTGGCTCTAGGAAGGGATGCTGGGAAGCAGAGGTTTGTGGTTAGTGTCACAGCAGGGAGGGATGGAGGGGGAGGCACCGAGACCCTGGGAAAGGAGCATTAGAGCTGCTCATCCCCAGAGAGAATGTCCTACTGAACGTGCTGCCCTGCTGGAGGATGTGGGTCCCACCACCTCCTGCTCCCTTGGCTGCTGAACCCAGCTGGGAGCAGGGATCCCTAAGGAAAGCCACACTGCAGCCCTTCCCTGCGGACAACCAGGCCTGAGAGCAGCGAGGGGCTCAGAGCTGGTGACCAAAGGGCGGTGCAGGGCAGGGAGGCAGCACCCAGGGCACCCTGTCCTGTCCTGCTGACCTCACACTGAGCCTCAGCGACGGCCAAAAAGCTTCTTCCTATCTCAAAGCCTCAACACCCCCCAACTCGCTCTATGCAGGCTTCTTTCCAATGAAACAGGCCTCCAGACAGTGCCAACGGTCAGCGTTTAATGCATTAATGAAGAGGGGCTTTCGAGTTGAAAAGCCCCGCTTCCTGACAAATCCTGCTGCTCTTTGGAGGAAACTGAGATGGAAATGTAAGCAGCTATGCTACCTCAATGGCCAACGGATGCAGCTGTGAAACCCTGCAGCAACTCACCATGGGTCCGGCGCGCGGGAACGGAGCAGGAGCTGCACCATGGGGACTCTGTGGTGAGGAAACAGCGGCGGTGTGGAGTAGTGTAATGAAATTCTTGGAAACAAAAGGCATGTTAAATATTTGATGCATAAAGGAGAGAGAGAAAACACGTAAGCAAAGCTTTTAAATATACAGTATGTCTTCTTCCAACGGTTACTATAATGATCACGCAAGTTTGCAAGTTAAAAATGCCTTGCTTCTTCGTTAAAATTAAGACTAAACCTCTAATTTTGTCTGTGAAAGTGACTGCAGCCTATCTATACCCTGGGTGCTGAATATGAAGATTTCGACTATCGCTCGGTTCAGGTGCTCGGTTCATGGGAGGCCGATGGACTTTTCCCAGCACGGCCATGCTCTGATCTCTGAAGCAAGGCTGCTGGAAGTCCCCACTTAGGTAATCCACGGTCTGCATCACGTTATTCTGGCTGGACGGCCCGGCCCCAGCTCTGTAATGAGGTCCTCCTGCACAATCTAGCGCTGCTCCGGCCGGCTGTCCCCCGTGGAAAGGCATGGCGAGGTCCTGGGACCCAGAGCTGTCGCTGTTGGGCGTGGGCAGAATGTTATTCCACATGGGCTGGAAATAGTGCCCGTTGGTGTATGGCAAGGGTCCCTGCAAGCCGTTGACAGGAGGGGAGGGCGTGGGCTTCTCAATGGGGGGCTTCAAGCCGAAGGACTGGCCCATGCACAGTTCTTGAGGGTAGCTGGAGGTTTTGGCAGGGAAACTCTGCCCCGCCATCTCTCTCGGCGCGTGCTTCCCTGCCAGCGCGGCGGGACCGGCAGCATCCCCACACATTTGCTGCAGATGAGCGAGCTGGTGCTGGTTCCACGCCACCGATTTGATTTCGTTCTGGTAGGCAGGCGGCACCCTGTTAATATTCACCATGGGCACGTTAACAGAGGCAGAAGGAATAGCAGCAGCAGCATGATCGACAGGGTTCACTACACAGGAAGGCATGGGCGTAGGGACGTTGTGAGTAGAGACCCTGGTACTTGCATTGATAAGCAGGTTGCGACTTATGGGGCTGGGGTTTGCAATCTGTCCCTCACACACTGAGGTAGTGCTAATGCCAGCTCTGGCCTGGCAGAACTGGTTAATCTGGTGCACAATGCTGCTCAGGTCCGGTGGCTGGTTCTGCTGCAGGGTGGCAGCCATAGAGAGGGGAATGGTTGAGGTAGACACGGTCACATTCGGCGGCGCGTCCGCATCCGGCATCTTTCTGCTCCCATGTAAACCCGGCTGCAGCAAAGGGTTCGGGGGGGGCTGCAGCGCCTGGTGTGCCACGGTCTGAGGATGCTGCAAGCCCTGAGGCTGCTGCATGTTCTGAGGGTGCGGCAGCGCCTGTGGAATCCCCTGAGGGTGGGGTAAGCTTTGCGGCTGTGGTATACCCTGAGGGTGCTGCAAAGCCTGCGGCTGCGGGATGCTCTGGGGGTGCGGCAAAGTCTGTGCATGCTGGAGAGCCTGCTGGCGAGCAAGCGCCTGGGGGTGGGTTAAAGTGCTCGGTGCAACGTACGGCGTGGAAGGGGGATTCATCATCGCTTCCGGCAGCAGGCGTGTGCGTGTCCCGTCAAAGTCCTTGAGGATTCCTTTCGCTGGAGACTTGACGATGGCCAGGAGGCCGGTTTTCGTGGTGGCCTGAGATGGGTAAGGACTGTACCTCTGGCCCGAAGTATCGAGTCCGTTCACAGTACGGCGTATGTGTTTCCGCTGGGGAACCTTGACGCTGTTTGGAAAAATTTTTATGGTCAGGGGATTGTTGGCGACCTTCTTAGCATAGGCATCCAATTCTGCTGGGGTAGGATACTGTGCAGATCTCATTTTCTGTGTAGTGTCCCCTGTGGAGAAAGGAAAGACGTCAATACCCAAGGTGGGGAGCACGGGACCAACCCCAGGGCACGACGGTCACACAGCGAGGGGAGAAACGCTGTGGGGAGCCGGGAGGTGAGAGCTGCATCTCCCAGACCAGCAGAAACCTCAGTCCCTTTGGTAGACCAACACAACCCCAATTGGGCAAAATCTGCCCAACAGAGCAAAGCCAGGCCTTGATTAGTGTTTTCGGCAGGACAAACCCAGGGACGGGCCAGGAACACCACATCTACCATCGTCTGTCTGCGTCCTCTTAATCTAAAGCCACCCTCCCACTCCTCTTCAAGGCATTTGCCACATCTTCAGACTGTCATTCAGGAATCAGAAGGCAGTGAATGAAACATTACACTCTGAGGTGGGAGCTGCACAAAGCACTCCGACTCAAATCCTCCATTTAAGCCCAAGCTCTTTTCTAGCTGCTGCCATCCAAAAGCACTCTGAGTGCCTTTTTGTCCATTAGGATCCTTGTCAGTCCCAGTTCAGCAAATGGAAGGCAGCTACACACACATCCCTTGATGGCTCGCCGTTATTTCTTCAGCTGAATGCTCAGTGTGGCACCTTGCTAGGGCAGCATCCCACTGTCAAACAGCAAAATCAGCTGAGTAGCTCACAAGATAAAAACCACACTTAGGGAGCAAAGGCTCCTGGAGACAGAGGTGTGGTTTCATGGCTGTGCTCAACCAGATACCTACCTTGCCTATGAGCCCCATGTGCTTTTGGAAAGAACTTCAGAGGTGCAGGGAAACGCATTTGCTTCTCATGTAATCTCATTCCAAGCAGAGCTGGGCCGTATCCCAACCACAGCCCTACGAGACTACTGCTTCAAAAGTGATTTTGTAACCTCCAAATAATGTCTCACAGCTTCCACAATCCCACTTTGCTTTTGCTTCCCCAACTCCCCATCTCATAAATGCTTCACTGGTAGAAAAACACCCAACCCTTTTTGCTGAACTTCCCAGCATCCCCATGCCACCTACTGCTCCTTCAGAGAGCATGCCAGCCCCCACCCAGCCCCTGACCCACAGTGCTGTGGATGCTCCATGCTTCCAGGTGAGCAATGCTCCCTTTTGTACATCCACCTCTGATTCTTCTAAGCAAATTGCTTGCAAAAGGGCCCTGAACGCAGCTGCAATCTGAGCACTCTGCCTTTTGAATCCTACAGCTTCCCAAGCGAGGGAGATCAGTGCTGCTCAGAGAACACTCACTGTCAGAAGTAAGGGCCAGTAAAAGGAAAACAGGATAGGTAGCAGAAGAAAGGATAATTACAGACATGCCTTTTGTGCAAGGAGCAGCTCAGCAAGCAGGCTGCTTCGCATCCCCAGCACGGTGTGTCCCACACTGCCATGCATGCCCCTGCTCTCCATGTGCTATCCAAACACTGGCACACATCACTCTTCTTCTTAATCAAAAGCAAGGTTTGTTTGATATTAACCCGAACATCCTCTCTGCTTCCATTCCTGTATCTTCCTCTGGAGGCAGGTGGCTTCTGTCTGTCCTTTTGAGGGAGCTGCTCTGTTCTGAGTGGAGCCTCTGCATGGAGCTTAGCAGAAGCTGAGGCCTTCTCAAGCTCCCTGTTATTTTTAGCCTTGTCCCAAACTCATCAAGCTCTGCTCCTCCCCACAGGATGACCCCTTGCAGCACACCATGAATCAGAGAAGAGCCATTAACAACAGACCAAGGATCCCACACCTGTACAGCCATGGCCATTTTCACATCAAGCTTTTACTTTCAGATGAAAAATCAAATTGGTGCTTCAGGACACTTTTCTCACTAAGATCTCCCAGCCTGGGTTAGACTTCTGCAGGCACACAGCACACAAGGTGTGAATGTTAATGGTGAATGGATATGTTCAGTATTCCTTTACTCAGGCACCAATGTTCCCATCATGCAGGAACTGCATGGGAACCTTTCACAAAGCAGCTAACGTGTTTTTCTCTGATCATCTGCATCCCTGGGTTACAGCACACCTGTAAGTCAACATCTGGATGGATTCCTTCCTCTCAAGGGTGAAAACCACCCCTCAGGCAAACTTAAGTAACTCATCAAGTTTGGTATCCTACCAAATGGGAAAACACCTATGGAATCCCTTGGACTCGATCTTCTGGAACACACCACCCCCTCACACAGACCTAACCTGGATCTAACCTGGCTGCTCTGCCCAGATCTGACCAAAATGATGAGTTTCTGAGAGTCTGTGCTGCTGGAAGCTCCACAGGCAAGGTTTGATGGCTGGATAAAAGGTGTTTTGAGAAGGGAGAAAAGCATTACGGGGTGATGGAGAGCCTGAATATCTTAAACAAACACCCTACCAACCAGTAAAGAACAAGGCCTGGCAACTAAGTGAACAAAAAACCAGCTGAAATAGACTGTAATAAAATGCTGATGCTAAAAAGAATGTGTGCACCATTGGTAAGCACGTGCAAGAAGTCCATATCAGCCCTCACAGTGATGATGAGGGTGGCAAACAAACAAGTTCCATCAAGAAAACAATGGGACGAGCTGCACTGTTACCTTCTGCTTAACACAGGGCAGAAGCCTTTTGTTGAAACCTAACGATGTCGTGTTTACTACAGGGTAGAGCTGTGCATATGAGCAATTACCCCCAGAAAGCAGCAAGCTGTGAGATCACACTCCAGCAGCACATGGCTCCTAGGCTCCATGCTCCCCACGCTGCTGCTATTTCTGTCACAGGAGGAGACACATTTCTCTGCCTCACCTCAGCACCCATGCAAACATCTTCTAAGTGCCTCTCACACTAAGTCTTTAAAACCCACAGCTTCTAAAATTGCCCACGGTTAATTTTTCATTAAGAACAAAAAAGCCTTCAGGATTCTTACCCTAATGAGAGCATCTGCACCGGGACAGAGAAAAACAGCTGTGCCATGCTCTGCTCGAGTCTCAACTGCAGCATCTCCTCTCCAGGCTTTACAGAAAGGGCTCTCAGGGAGGATGGGGTTTGACTGCTGACCTGCCTTCAGCCTCAGCCTGCTCCTCTCTCTCCTCTCCCTTTCACCTCGACTTGGTGCCACTGTCACCACACATCTCCCTTCTCTGCCCCAGAGGACAAATGTCAGGGGGAGCTCCTCCTGTGATGCTGCAGAATTCGAAGGGAAATACTGAAATCTGCAGTCCCGTGGTCAGTTCCAACAGAAACGAATAGGTGCACATATGAGTCACAGAGCAGCTTCATAAAAAGGCTGCTTATATGAAAGTAAGGAAAAAAAGAAAAAAAAAGAAGATAATTGAGCTAATGTGGATTTTTTAAGTGTGAATCAAAAGTTTGATCCAGGAAATGACACTTAGAAATTATGAATACAAACATGGCAGATCTGAGTAAAGGTCATCAGGTGGAGTTCTGGGCCTTTTAGCAAAGCAACAGCAGCATTATTAAAGCCCTATTCCACCCCCCATCAAAAGTCACAAGTCACCGTTCATTAAAAATACTCATTAACTCAGCTTTCCTCTGGCCAGGGGCTAGACTACTCGTGCATACACAGTATGCAGAGAACTGCACCAATTAATCCTGTGCACATCTGCAGCAGGAGTGAGCAAGGTCTGCACGAGCAATTTTGTTTCCATATAAATCAGAACAAAGTGGGAGAGAAGAGCATTACCTCCAGCCTGCCAGCTACCTCTGTCCTCAATTCCTTTCACCGCAGTGCCCTGAGCCCTTCACCCAGCACTGCCTTCAGCATGGGGGTAACTCACCCCCAGGAACAGCACCAGGTTAACAAGCTGCCTTGCAAGATGTGCAATTAGCAAGTGCCTAATGGTGCTACCCTCATGCAGCCTGCACAATTTGCTCTCAGGACTGAACGTTCCAATCCACCAAAGCCTCACGTAACGCATGGACCCAAGCACAGCCTCACCACAGCAGCCTACCTTGTTTGTTCAGCAAAACTCAAACTGGCAATGAGAAGGGAAAGCAGGGAGAGCCCACGCTGTCTAATGAAGTCCTTCAGCATGGAAAGGTTTTTACTACTGCCACAAGTGTCACTGCAATTAGTGAGCCTGTGGAGTGCACATGGGTATGTGAGCGATGTCGTTCACTGCTGGCAGGACTGGTACCTTGAGAATGTCATCCTTAATTGCAAAATTAGCTTACCTATTTTCAGTAGCATCACAAATCTCACCATATTAAGAATTTAGCTATAACTGGAGTGTTAATTATTTAGCTTTCAAGAGCAACGAGTCCAGGAGCAAAGTGAGGGCGCTGAGATCTCCCAGTGCACATTTCAAACACAAGGTTACAGCCCTACAAACCAGGAACACAGATCTTATGTGCATCTCTGCTATTTCAGCTGATCAACCACGGTGCAAGTTCAGTGAGAAAGAGACAGAGTCAGATTTAGAGTAACTCTAGCCAATAAACTTGAATTCCCAATGCAAGTTCTTCTAAAAAGACAGGTTCCACTATCAGAAAAAGGCTGAAGTTATTGCACATGAATTATCACAGTACTCTGCAGACATATTTTCAGAGCACCAGAGACATCAGAAAGAAGAAGGAAACTTTGAACTTTAGTAATTTGGGTGAGATCACCAATATTTGCAGCCTGTGGCCAAGGTATGTAGAACAGAGCTGACCTCAAAAGGTTTGCATTAGCCTGATCCAGCTTTTAGTGGTGCCATTAGATGAATGGAAACGAAAAGGAGTAGGGAATAAAAGTTGTGCTAAGCAGCAAGTCAAGCGACACACTTCTAGCACAACATGTTTTCAGCACAGGCAAGAATCTCACAGAAACCATGCCTGCATTTTGTCTTGCTGTGGTTAAAATTAACCTTTGTCAAGCCTTGCTGCACACACGTGAACCTCCATAGCGATTTCGCATGGCCGTTATTGAAGGATGCCCTGAAGGCAGAACTGAACCCAGTCTCTAGCATTAAATAGTTTTTCCACTGTACCCTAAATGTTTTGTTTCACAGCTGTACCAGAGCCAGATTTAACAGTTAACCACATCCTGCAGACAAAACGTCACTCACATTTCTGAAGTCCAGTGTTCATCTGCGTGTAAGAAAGAAGCTGAAAGGAGAGGTCACCTGGTCCTGGCAGACAGGCCAGCATGGCAGACAGGCACTAACACAACATGGGCCATTCACTCCTCTGCACACTGCAACAACAGAGAGACAATTCAAAGTTATAATACAAGGAGGAACAGAGAAAAGAAAGGCAGAGAGCCATTGCTGCATGAAGACCTGACCAAGCACAGATGCACGTCACCTCCGCATCTGGGGACAGCAATGAGAAGTGGGTTAGAACTAAAATATCTCCGTTAAAACTCAAATACCTTGATTAAAACTCAAATACCTGCCTTGCTTTCCTCTGCTGTCTGGCACATGGCTAACCCATAAGTCTGCCTTTGGATTCAAAGCTGGTTGTTCCAGGTGGTAAGGAAGCCACCACGGGGAGCAGGGAGTTTCTGCCATCTGTAGCTCAGCACATCTGGCACCAAACCTCAAACCAAAGCACCCAAACTCCTGAGCTATCACCACACAGCGCCGCTCCCACCATCGGTGTACGAACTGCTGTACCAGCAACAAAGCCAACGTGGGCTCCAAGTCTCCAAGTGAGCCATGCTGGAGATATCAGCTGCCTTCTCCTTGCCCTCACCTCCCCAAGTAACAGTGCTGCTGCATGCAGAGATACAGGTCACCATGTGAGAAACACACCTGCACCAGTGAGCTGCTCTTGCAGACATCATGTATCATCATCTTAGGTGATGCCAAAGGTTCAGAAAGGATTGAGGTGGCAATAATGTTTTTTAAGGAAATATCTGCCTTTAAAAAAAAAATAATAAATCTATGTAAAGTGGAAGCATGAATTCATTCTCTGAGCCTGATATGCAATAAGCAAATTGATGCCATCTAGGTCACTGCTGAGCATTAAAAAAAGGAATTCAGATTTGCACAGAAGTGCTGACCACACTCCCATCACTGAATTCCATATTATAATTACAACTGTGCTCCAATTTTTGTTCTCTATTCGTATCTTCTCAAAACTGCTATCTCAGTAGCTGACCACAAATGCATTTGAAAAGCTATGAACCAAAGGGGGGAGTCCCCACCCCTGGAGGTGTCCCAGAGCCGTGGGGATGTGGCACTGAGGGCCGTGGTCAGTGGGCACGGTGGGGTAGGGAGGAGGGATCTGAGAGATCTTTTCCAACCTGACTGTGTGATTCTGTTTTCTGCTCCAGGCATCCTGCAGAGAGCGACTTAGGGTTCACGGGTGGCAGAGAAGCCCTCCGCCATTCTCCACAGCACTGCCTTTCTGCACTGAACCTATTTCTATAAAAACATACAGAATTTGCTGGCTGGTATTCAAAGTTCCATCTTGCCTCTGCCAGATCCCATGCCAGGAGGGACCTTCAAAAGGCAGAATAAAGCCTAGGTGTAAAGCAACTCGGCGCTAGTAGGAAGCGTCTCATGCACTAACAGTTTTATCGTTATATAAACAGACCCCATACAGAGAGTCACTGCCAAGTTTTTACACACAGGAGTGTCTGAGGCCTTACAGGGAAAGCACACAAAGGAAACACTCCTCACAGACCACCCCCGGCCAGTGAAAGATGGGAAACCAGGCTGGTTGAGACGAAAGCAAGCTGGCAAAGTCTAAAGTTAGATTCATGAAAGTAAACAGACGTGGTTGAAATTCTGAGATGAACTGCAGGCCTGTTCACCAAACTGGGGGTGGCAGGAGCAGCAGCAGCTCCCCACACAAAAGGAAAGCTCAAACTGCTCCATGCTTTTAGCACTGTGAGCTGGGAGGTGCTGCCCAGTGCTTGCAGCCAACTGCTCTGCTCTGCTGCTCCTCCTTACTCACGAGGCGGCTGCGTGGGATTCCATCATTGCTGATGGGATTGGTGGCAAACCCTGAACATGGGCTGCACAACCTGGGGTCAGCATGTATAAATGCTGCAAGCAAACCCAAAAAAATGAAGATGGGTTGTAAGGTTTCTTTGGTATAAATGTTTGCTGCAGCTTGCCAGGAAACACAAGTGAATCCAGGGCAACCTTCATGCTCCAGGGGAACCTCGGTGTCTCATTTACCCCCCAGCAGGCTGCTTGAGACCAAACGAGACTCATTCCTTTTCCCTCTCTCAAAGTAACCTAAATACAGAGGGCTTACAAATTGGTTCACACCAAGCTGGAGCACCCTGGCAGCAGCTGCTCCCTGCACACTTACCGCAATGTGTGCCTGCTTGGGGCTGCAGAAGAGCCAGACAGAATCTCACTGGTTCCTGGAGCACAATGAACTAACCACACCAGCTGGCAGCTCATCTCTTAATGTTTTAAAAATGGAAAACTGCAAAATAACGTGCGGAGAGGCAATCTGTAATGGTAATCAATCACAGCAGCTTCAGTGTATTGGGGGGATCAGGAATTAGGAAGACTGAACAACGGGGAGCAGTGCAGTGCTCCGTCAGCATCCAGCAGCGCCGTGCCTCCTGGCTCTCTGTGCTCGGGTGGACCTTTAGCAGAGCCCTGCAACAGTTTTAATCAGAATCAATTTCTGCTTCGTGCAGTTTAATTAACTATGATTTTGCTCATAAACCGTTTTGCCTTTGGGGCTGACCTGCATTTATAACTTAACTCAGGCAGCAAAATCCAACGGTTCGGAGGGGAGAGCAGGGAGGATTTACATGCACGTGCTCTGCTCTGAGCAGAGCTCTGCTCACAGGGCAAGGGGGAAAATGAAGAAGCCTTGGGGGATCAGCACAGTGCTCACAGCACACTCCTCATGCCCAAAGACTGCCACTGAAGGCTTCCAGGTGAGCAATTTGAGCAGGATGAAGTGCAGGAAGAAAGGCAACATCAGTTCTATCAGACCCACTCCTGGGAGAAGCAGCACAGCTCAAGGTTACGATCCCCAGCTCTGAAGAGCTGTTTTTAGGTTGGTCCCAACAGATTATTTTAAACCACAGCGTTACACATCTGCTGAGAGCAGAACAGTTGGCTTTAATTGTACGATGGGTTTTTACATAGCTTCTGACCTTTCATCTAATTGAGGCCTAAAGAAGAAAAAAAGAGGAAAAGCTCGACGTCACTGCAGTTATTAAAATCCATCAAGCTCAGACTTTAGCCCTGGGATAACCACAGCCAAAAAATTGACTTGCAAGTAATTATCACTGCTATCTGCAATAAAAGTTAATTGGACATAATTGAACTAAAGCCCTAATCTGAATGAAGCTGTTGCTGGCAAGAAGCCTGCTTCTGCCTGCACTTTGCAAATGAAACTGCTAGCACTATAACAGCCCAATCACAGCATGATTTCGCACGCTGCTCGTTAGCTGGGCTGATACAGCCACCAGCAGGGCTGTCCTCAGCCAAGAACTGAGCTGCTGCCCGTGCCCAGGCCATGCTGGTGGCTGGAGAAGCGAGCCCCACTTCTAACTGCTGCTGCTTCACCTGCTTGTGTTTGGCAATTGTTACCCAACAGACCAGAAAGCAGCAGTCATCCTCGCCGGACTGCTTCAGAACTTCCTTCCAATTGTAATTATTAACATGCTGTCCTGCACCAAAGCAGAGCAAAGCACTTCACACACGTGACTAAAGCCACACGAGCGCACTGAAATGGGCAAAAATTGCTCACAACTCATTCTGCAAAAGCTTAAGGGGGTTCTGGACCAGATTTATGTTCCAAGATCGGTCTCATGATTATGGAGCTAGCCTATGACAGGGCAGACAGGATGTATCTGGCTCATCATGGGTTCCTGACGTCATTTTGGATGTGGAGTTTAATCAGCCCATGCCACGCTTGCTCCATTCTAAATGGATAGCAGTGGGCAGACAGCTTTCAACCACTGAAGAATACTACGGAGATAAATTCAACTGCAGAACATTCAATACCACCTTGACATCTCACATTACATTTCCAAGGTCAAAATCTGGGGAGGAACTGGAATCAGACCACACTGCACTCCTCCACTCCATTTACTCACTGCTGCTGCTCTTCCTTCTCATGTGTCAAAGCAGAATTTTAGCTCGAGAAAGCTGGAACAGAGAACTAGTGATATAAATTCCCTTTCATGACCCAAATCGGTGGCTTATTTTACTTTACTCAAAGCCTATCACCTCTTTTTAAGCCTATTTTTAGATTTAACTCCCTGTTTTGCAATGTGGAGGGAGCTGATAGACGAGGCAACCAGGAGGAGGTCCTGCCAGGTGTGGCAGCTCTCTTCGAAGGGCAGGAAAGATGCAGAAAAGACATGCTGGGACATCTGCAGTGCCTGGCCACAGCTTCAAAGGAGCATTTCTGGCAGTGCTTGAAACACATACGCTCGTGGTCAGTTATGAGACAGAGGGAGATTACTTACACTATGGGAACTTAAGCAAGAAATAGGAAAATCAGCCTGCCCGTATTCAAAGCGATTTGAATAACTCTGAATTTGCCTCCTCTGAATTTTTACTATGCTGAAGCACTCTGACCTTTAATTAATTTTCCTTCGCCTTTTATATGGTAACCTCCAACTCTGAGGTTTTCAGTGCTGTATGGGTGGGTAATAGGGATGCAGAAACAGTCTGGGATGTATTTTAGTTCTGTTTCACAGTGCATAAATCTGCATTTAGGAGAGAGAGAAAGGATGCCCAGCAATGAGGCACCGCTCCCACCAACAGCCCTTCTCCGTTCTCACGCACAGCTTCCTTCTGCCCTCAGTGATAAGAAACCCTGTTATGCACAGATCCCCTTCCCAGAGCAGCTGCAAGCTCAGCACCAGCACGTGTGTGCTGCACTCCTATGTGTTCAGGTGGCTGGGAGCAAGGTGAGGTCATTGTTCTGCACTTACTGCCCCACCAAGGAGCTGCATGGGCTGTGTGCTCGTTGCACACTCAGCTGCAGCATCTCCTGACACCTCCTCCTGCCCTGCACTGCTTTGTAGAGGAGTAGGAAGCTTTACTGAGTGCCTGGGCACTCAGGAACGTGAAATACTTCCCTCTCTGTTGCCTGGATCACCTCCACCGTTATCTTCTCTCATTCCACACTTCCCCTAGAAGAGCCCAGGACTTAAGTCTTAATCATCACTTACAGAAATCCTTATAGCTGCACGTGACAGAAGAATGACAGTTTTTCCTTTTAAAATATCATTAGAAGTTAGAGATTATGACAGTTCCCCGAGCAGGAAAGTGGTTCCTTTCCTTTATTACAAGCTGATTATTTAAAAAAAATACTTTATCAGAGCCAACTTTGAACATATTTTGCCTATCCACAACACACAAACAACAAACCAGATGTGCCAGAGACTGAAAAATGTGTTTCAACTCCCGTTTTAAAAATAGATTCCCTTGAAAATGAGAAAATATTTGCAAATAAGATAAGGCAGGATGAACATGCAAAACAAGGAGCAGAGCTCTCATACTGAGACAAGGAGGAGTGACTCACTCAGGGCTGGATGTGACGGTGCTGGATGAACACGTGGGGTCTGTGCTCGGGCTGTGCTGGCTGTGCATGAGTCCCTTGGTAGGACACAGAGGTTCTGCTGGACCCTGACAAAGCAGCTTGGAGATTCATCTGTGACTACAGGCACAAGACGAGCTGCCAGGGGAACACAGAGCACAGACAGACAGACTCTGCTGTGCCCAGGAAGACATTTTCTTCCCAGCTCCAGGTGAGGTGCTGGTTCCTGCTGGGGCGTACTGACACAGAACTCTGCCCTCACCAAGAAACTCAAAGGTTATCTCACTGCAAGCAATAGGTTCTTTTTTTGTGCTCCAGCAAAGAAGTCTGTGCTTTGCTCCGTGCTTTTCCAACAAGCACAACCAGCCAGTGGCACTGCCAGCTGCTCAAACAATGACAGGGAGAGCAACACAAGTTATGCAAGGTGCTCAAAGGCTCTGCACAGTGCTGGAACCACAGATCCCTGCCTGCAGGCCCAGCAAAACACTGCAGAGCAATCTCACCCAGTGGTCTGAGCAGCCACAAACACATCACCCCCAACAAAAAAACACACACACATTTGTTTTTTGCACAGTGAGGTGCAGCAAATGAATTGCAGACAGGACAGAGATACACAGCTGTAGCTGTTCTTCATACCCAGGCCACTGCTTTTCCAACCACAGAGTAACCAAGCCAGTCAACGAATTCTAAAAAGTAAATTTTTCAACCTTCAATTAGCTGCATTAGTACTGTTTATAACCGTGTGATTGATAAATGCTCTACAGAAGCTGTAATTAATGTATTTTGCTCTTGGAACACATACTGAACCCCTTGGCACTCGACGCTTAATGAAAAGCAATTTATCAACTTGCTTTGAATAGCTGAATCTGATTCCTTAACGTAGCTTTCCTTCAAGAGCTCCAACTCTGAAAAAGCAACGCCTATCCCAAACCTACAAATGCTGTCAGACACAACTTGGATTTTGACAAGATGGCAATGACCAGAATGCTCATCTTGCTGAGGAAGAGGTTTTTTAGGGCAATCCTCACCCCAGCAGTAGGTCTGCAGATGTGCTGCTCCAGCATGAGGGTTACAAGTGTGTTTTTAGGACACCGGACCAAGTTTGTGGCCAGACAGCACTGACACACGTGGAGAAGTGGAAGCTCAGCGACTACCAGCCTGGACATGAGTTCAGCTGCATACAAAGCAAGCAAAAATAAAGTGCTTACAGAGTGTCTGAATGCTAATTTCTCAAATGGAGAGTTGCTTTGTGTATTTGACATATGCAAAAAAAAAAAAAAAAAGAAAGAAAAAAAGCCAACCCAGCATTTAGAAGGAAAGGCTTGACATCACAGAATGCTATGTTGGTATTAACTGCTAGGGGGATTAGCCAGCCTTCAAAGCCTGAAATCTAAACTCACATTTCTGGAAGCACAGGCTACAAATATCCAATACAGAAATTGGCCTGCACTCCATATGGTAGCCTGAATGTAAGGATTACATATTTCCATTGCACGTGTACGTCTGCTTCCCATTCCTGCAGTGTCCTGCCCTCTTCCATTTGTCTTTTGATTCAGATAAAAGCCAACGCAGATCCTAACTGCTGATATGGAGAAAGGTGCAAGGCACAGTGTGTCTTTGGATGAAGGAAGAAAAGGACTCGGGTCTGGACTGCTAGAGCATGTCAAGAGATTGTCTTTGAAACTACAAAACCAGAAATGAAAGCGCTGCTTTTATATTTTGATTTGATCAAAGCAACTGGGGGCGGGGGGAGAAGAAATCACATCCTACAGATGCAGGCTAAATTTTAACTACTTCACACATAATGTGGGACCAGCTGATCCCATACAGGCCTGAAGAAAGAGAGAAAACAAAGAGGTAAAGTCACTCTAGCTCTGAATGTGCTCTTTCCACAGATCGCTGCTTCAGGGCCTGCCAAAGAGCAACAGGAACCCATTTCAAAGCAAGAAAGACACAGGAAGCATGTACCCAGCCAAGGGCACACATTGTGAGTCTCCAGCAAAGAGCAGAGCAGAAAGCTCCTGGCAAATGAGAGGAAACACACTCAGAATGTAACGGCTGCTCGGGTACATAACCTGGTACTCCCTCTGTGACTGCACCCAGATCTGACAGTGAGAAGCAGCAGTGTGTGAGGAGCCTCCAGGAGGGCTCTATGCTGCTTGGGGACAAGGAGGGGGGATTCTGCCCAGAGCAGCTGCTCAGATCTATGTTCAGCACAGGGGAACGAGGCAAAGCACAACTGCAGGTCCCAAACAGCAGAGAATAAACAGATACCTGTGACTGCCACGCTTCCTGACAGAAAGGATTACAAATACCTGCTGGGTCAGCTGTGTGCTTGGGGAAACTTCTAACTGCAGTAGGTGAACCATTTCCTCTGGGCTGGAATGATGGAGCTCTTTGCCCTTCGCTAAAAATTAAGCAGAAGTCATTTGAACAGATGACAACAGCTGTACACAGGAGATCAGAAAGCTCCCCAGATGCTGATTTTGAATGAAATTCAGAAGCCAGTATAAACCAGATTTTAAATACAGAATAATCCTTACCATAATTTGCATGAGAAAACCAGGGAAAACGTTCCACCCCTGCACTCTGAAACCCTCCAGGAATGTGTGGGGTTAAAAAGGAGATCCTGATGAAAAGGACAAGAATTGGAGACTGCAAAATAGGACCAGGAACTGTTTCTAGAATCTTCAGGTAACAACTAGAAGTATGGAGAGCCCCGTGCTGAAATCTGATGGTTGTTGAGCATATTTCTCCCTTTTGTGCTGTATGTTCTGATGGATGCTCAACACGCATCCTGGGGCACCTCGTGTGAAGGAAATCTTTGACCTTTCTCACCAAGACAGCTCGCAATTATGGACTGAAAAGCATCTAAAAATCTCAGCCCTAAATCCGAAGCTTCTTCCCATCTTGCTCCTTCCTTTACTGAATGCCTCCTGATTGTGCCAAAGCAGAATATTCAGACCTCAGTCTAAATAGCCTGGGTGTTATGCTGATGGTGTCTCTGGAGAGAGGAAGAGAAGAGAGGACAGATTTCCAATAGCTCTGATGCTTCTCCGTAAGAAAAGCTGCTACACAGCAAGAGTGATAAATAAAGAGGGAAAGTAACACACTGGAGAACTTCTACCAAGGTCACACCAGGCTGCTGAGCACTACCCATCTGCAGGGAAGATTTAGATACCCATTTAACTACGCAGATCCATTTGCTTGTTGGCAGCAACAGTCCTCATTAAACCAAACCGGTTCTAAGCATGAAAGGGAAGGATGATATTAGCTAATAAATACAAAAGGAAAGCCAACAGGCTTTAGTCCTTCTCAGGACAACAATCAGGCAGCAGGAAGGGCACGTGCATGGGTGGCATGGCATGTCCCAGCTGGACAGGAGCAGGAGTGCAGCCTGGGTTCTAGAAGCTATTGCTGTGCCCTTATCAAGAGTGTTCCTTGCCTGTTTCAGCAGGCTGAAAGACACGCTGGGCACAATTTCAAGCTATGACAAAGTGATCTTATCACTTCTGTGCTGTACTCGCTACACAAGGCCCTGATTCAGCAGCATGTAAAAAAAAAATAATATCTTCATTTGCATGAAAAGCACTCTGATCACAGAGTCTTCTGTTCAGCAGCCCCCTTCCCATCCCCAGCTCAAGATGCACGCACTGCTGGCATTTTGCTGGCGACTAAAAGGGAATATTCTGCATATGCTCTGCACGTTTTAATGCAATCTTTTCCTAAAATTTTAACAGTATTCTCAAACAACACAAAAGCTGCACACATTCAAACAAGGCAAATGCTGCCAAGTGCTTTCACTGGCACTTTTAGTAACTGGGCCACACAAAGGACATTTCATACCAACGCACAGCAAAACAAACAGCTCCAAAATGCCTTTGCTGCTCAACAAGTCCAGTCTTTTCCAGTCTGCCTTTACAGTGTCTTGACACACAGCACTTAAAGAGGATAGATCTGAAACTAAAGGAAGGTGTAGCCATGCAAAGAACAATGCTCTGACCGCAGTCAGATTAATCTCTGTCGTGGGAAACCAGTAAGAACCTCTATTTTGTTATCTTTTGATAAAAAGAGACTGTTAAAGCTTAACCATGTTAGGAAACTTGCTCCTTTGGACTAAAGCACAAACTCAATGTATAGAGGTGCAGACTTAAGTCATCAGTTCTCGCCTGTTTCTGAGGGAGAAAGTCCACTACTGCAGCAGCTGAAGACTGGATCCAGCAGTCCCAAGCCCTTCCCTGATCACAGAGGGGTCACTGAGGCCATTTCCAGCCCCCTGCCCCGTATCAGGTAATAAACACCACCTCTTATGAGCCAGAGTGCGTCACGTCCCACGGACACACCCTGAAACCACATCAGTCTCTCAGCCAACTCAGCCCAAATATAAATACCTTCCATCCAGGCAGCAGTGCAGTCCCCATTGAGAAATGTTTCCCTTCCTGTTCAGCCAGCACTGAAGCATTACGACGTGAGGCTGACCCAGTGCCCTCCTGTCCCTGCCAAGCATTTTGGGGCTCTGCTGAGCTGCTTTGCCAGCAATCTGTGGCCTGGTGCAGTGTGTGAGATCACAGCCACGGCCCTCACAAAGAGCAGACCTGTAAATGACATCTCGAGGATTAAACTGATTGAGATGCAATTTGCCTAGCAACCATTCATTAAGCAGAGTTCAGAAACAGGCCAGCAATCTATTCCACCTCCTTATCTGAGCAGTAAACAGATAGCAGGCTCTGCTATGTCCTCTCTCCTCCAGCTCAGACACGGTGCAAACACATTTTTCAAAAGTTTCAACTCTGCAGCAAACAGCAGAGAACAATTGTGCCTGCCCAGCACAGGGCTCAGTGCTCACCCACACCCAGCAGCTCCACGATGACGATGCAAAGCACACGGGGAACGCAGCTGCAATTCCCACCTCCCCGGTGTTTTCTCCCATCCAGCATCAAAGCCAGTCCTGATCTTCTAAAAAACAGCCACTGTAATTCTTCATCACGCAGCACTGCTCTGATAGCTGGAAAAAAACTCGATGAAAATCTTATTCCCCTCCTTCATCTTCTGAAAGGAATCGATTGGCACTCCCAAAGTCCTCAATATAACCCCCCCCCCAGAGAAGAAAACAAAAATCACGTCCTCCTTCCCATTAAGCATTTTTCCTCATCAAACAAGCGAGACAATGCCAACGTCACCAGCAAAAATCAAAGCAGCTATTTCAGCTCCAAGGATTTCACTGAAAAGATTAAGCGAAATCCTGATTTTGTGTGATTGCTTCCCCATAAGAAACATCTGACAATATCCTATTCTGCTCCGAAATGAAACAACAAAATGAGCTCGGACACATTTCATTTAAGACTATATACCTGAACGGCCTTCCTTTGGTGAAGTGTTCTTCTGGGAAATCACTGTGACATACAGCACGCTATTGCAATTAAATATGCAAGAAAGAAGAATTAAACTGGCAATGAATAATTAATAGCATATAATACTACTTCATAAGGAAAGTCTGGCTGAATATTCCCAAAGATGAGAGGTACCTGAGCGCATGGCACATCACGGCTGCCAGCTTTACTTTTACCATGGAGCCCAAGGCCCCACGATGCTGTGGCTGCTGCTTGTGCCTCCTCCTCCTCCTCCCCTCCTGCCCACCAGGATCCAGGGAAGCTCCAAGACAGACAAGCATTGCAATAGCTGTTGATCTGCTCACCTGCATTTCAGTATTAACCAGGCTTCCCAAACGCTACCCGTTAAAAAGTGTACAGCAATTATTTCATTTCCCAGTAGAGAATAAAACAAGTATGATGCAATGATTACTTATAAGATAATATCAGGCTGAGGTTGGGAGGAAAAAAAAACAACTGAAAAAGTCTGCAAGAGCGAAGGAATGCAGTTTACCTTCCCAGAACCTCTCTTAAAGAGAAAGATAGCATCAGCTTGCCCAGCAGGCCTTCCTCCTTCATATTTACTGATTCAGAGGCTACGTCCCTCCTGCAACCCCGCCATATCACCTTCCAGACAACATGGCAATGGAAAACATGCTTTCTTCATTAAGAGAAACTTTAAGTCCCATCTATTATTATGTACCAAAGTGCTCATCAAATTGCTATTGAACCCTAAGCCTTTTCCTCTAGACAACAGCCAGGTCAGCTCTGTGCTAACCAACACAACACACTCATTCCATACCTTGAGCTGGAAATCCCCAGTTCCCTAAGTTTATCCAACACCATCCTGCTGCAGAGCACTCGGTTTAGGGATGCATGTCTGAAACACATCTGCTGGAGATCGTTAAAGGAGGGCTGGGCACTTCTATCTGCCTGCTGGAGATGACAGCCCCGCAGCCAGACATCCCCAGGGCCTGCAGGACTCAATGCTCTTCTCCAAAGCAAACACAAATTGGAGTCTAATCTCTACAAAGGCTGGAAATAAGCTAGTTTAATATTAATTTTCTATTAAAAATTAATAGGATTAAATGAAACTCGCGAGCTGGCAGGCACCAGGAGCACTGCCCCTCTGGCTGCCCACAGGAACAGATGCAGAGGATGAGGATGGGTTGCAGCAGTGCTGTAGGACTGGAGCTGTAGGGGAAGGGCACTGGGGCCTCATCGTGTGCCACAGCTCCATGTCACCCTGCTGCCAGCAGCCCATCCCTGCTCTACCAAAGGTCCTTTGTTAGCACTGCCTGGCACCCACTCACCCTGCAGCAGGCTTAGGGATCCCCCACAGCTTTCAGAGACCTCTCCATTGCTGTGTGAGGTGGGAACGGCTGCTGGTGCCTTCCTGAGCTCTGCACGCACAATCTTTGGCTGGATGGCTGTAAACTCTGACTTTACAGCATCAGTGCATGCCACAGCAGCACAGCATATGGGCCAGATACACATCCTGCACATGTCTGGGGTCAGATGTGAGCAGGAGGCTCTTGGAAGCATAACAAAGTGTGATAGGGATACCACAAGTCCCACAAAGATGTTTCCTTCCCTGATCCTTGCTGTGCACAGTGGAGCTCCTAACAGCTCATCCTGGTGACCAAGGCAGTGCATCCTCTCCCAGGATCCAGCCTTGCAGGGACTGGTGCCCACCTTCACCCACCTGCAGGCAAATCCCTTTCTGACTGCCAGAATTAATCACCTTGCCAATAAGCATCCTGCAAACAACCAGAGTTTACATAAGAGAAGTTTAACCTTCAGATCCTATTAATGTTAACAGAAAAAAAAAAAAAAAAATGAAGCACAGAGCAACAAAAAGGTCTGTATCTGCATTTCTAATTATACAACCAAACGCAGCACGTGGTGGTATTTCCAAGCACCTTGCTGGTGATAAAACAGCAAATGGACTACAGCTTCCATTTTGAGGAGTGGCTGCAAGAGCAAACAGCACTGAGGTTGTCAGCAGTAAGGCAAGGATGTGAGAATTAAGGAAAATAAAGTGGCATACTTCAAGGATGGTAGCAAGAATGTTAATAATTAGAAGAACAAGTCACCTTAAAAATGTTACATTTCATGATCTCTCATACTTTTAATGGCTTAGCCTACTTTTTCCAACCTAATTTGCATCATCCAAATAGGCCTCCTGCTGGGAAGCATTAAAATGGCAGCCCCCCATGGAGACAGGCTCCCTTCACCAAGCCAGTCTGAAGGGCTAATAAGTATTCCTAAAAACATTTTAAATCCATTAACGATGTTTAGTAAACATTTATTGAGAATTAGTGCCACTGCCAGAGTTGGCCTTACCACATACTGCTAAAGCATTTTATAAAGAGGTGAAGGTACCCCCCAAAACACTGCACCATCACCAGCTCCCACCCAAAACCCAAGGGTTCTCTTGCTCCTGCTCTGCATCACCCTAATAACTGACACCCCAAAGCACGAGGCATTCTCCAGGATCAACCAGGCAATGCTCCACAGCCCTTGGAGCACCCAGCTGGAGATGGGGGACACAAGAACCAGATGGAGCACCAAAGGGACACCCAGGCAGTGGGGCACCCAGCACTCTTGCAAGTGGAAGGAAGGGATGGGGCTGCTCCTGCACTGTGTTTGTGTGGGATCTGCACCAAGGGCTGCACCTGGCTAATGCCCACCTTGACATGTTTGGGTGGCTGAAGGACCAATTTGCTCTACCCCTGGCAATTAATTCAATCCCCTGAATAAAACAGGCTAGTACAATAGCAGTGGAAACCTCCCTATTACTGCTGTATTGAAGATGTGGGTGCTGGTACAAAGGCACAGTGCTTTACACAAATATCTGAGCTGTGCATTATCCTCTGGGCACCATCTGCACACAACCAGGTAGGGTTTTATCTAAGCCCTGGAAACTCGAATAAATCATTTCCTCCCTATCTGTGATCCTGACAGAGACAGACGCTGCAATCTGCGAGCTGACGAGTGCAGGCTTGTCTGGTTAGCAGAAATAAAATTATATCTGCATCAGTATCTGATATATTTTTAATAAAAAAAATACAGCAAACCAGACCCTTAATATTGAAATAATCTCAGCCTGCGCCTCCGTAACCCACAGGAGGTATCTACAGTGTTACACTGCCAAAGCGAAGCTGGGATTGCCACTGTCATTTCACCAGCAAGAGATGCATTTTAATGGTCACACATCAGGAAAAGCAGAACCCCACAGCAGCCCAGGGCTGGGGATCCCACAGCACACCATCAGCAGAAGCACCCATCCCATGGGGCAGCACAGCCACAGCTGGGATAACACACTGCCAGGGGAATGCTTCTCTGCCTCTGAAAGTTACCAAAAGGCAGGAGATAAATGGTCCACCTTCCCCCTGCCTGCTGGGTTTTATGCACTTCTGTTGGAAATGTTACATCAGAATAAAACCCAACTTAATTGGCTCTTAAATAACTGAACAGCCACTTTAATTTTATTTCAGCAGCAATCAGTCATAAATCACGCCGCCCAAGCTCCAGCACGGGATGACAAGTAAATAGAGCAGAACATACCGAAGCAGAATCTGAACGCTGTGCAGTGAAAGGTGATTTTTCTTAAACCTGTGCATCACCATTTAATGGACATCACAAAGGCAGCAAGGCATCAATACCTGGAGCTCAAACCTGCCAGCCCTGCACGCTCCTTCTGCACCAACTGATTAGCAGAGCCCAATAAACGAAGGATCTCTGTAAGGTGGAACTGCTGGGATTGAAGCACAGGTGCAATTTCCCCCACGCACACTAGGTGGAAGTATGTAAAACCTTAATTTGTTCCCTTCTTGACTTAAGTGGAAGTGGTTGAAGTGTATAATAGCACCTGTCACTGTTGGAGGAGTCTTTATCGTCCTTCATCTGCAACTTCACTAATTGATGATCTGTAAGCAAGAAGATGCCCGGAACTATTAAGCTGAGCTGTGCTGGAAATGAGTGGCAAATATGAAAAAACAGACATCAGAAATATTAACTGTATCATCATTCAGACTAATTTTAAAAATGCATTCCACTTCCAGAGCATTTAAACACTCAGTGCTAATGGCAGCCATCAAAGAAATGGAATTTGCATTTTAGAAACATTCAGTTTATTTTCACGACTAACATCTCTAAAAATAACACCTTGTTAAAAAGAAACAAGGGACAGGAAGGTGCAAAAGGCTTCAGAAACAAATTTCTAGCAAATACTGGGAGGAGTAGGAGGAGAAACAGCAGCGTGGGGTCTTGCAAAGGGATCTAAACACAGATCAGAGCAGCAGAGCACCCAACCTGCCTGGGATTACATTACACAGAAGGCTTCTGGAATGTATGGTGGAAGTGCCTCTTTCCAAAAGAATCCATTTCTAAATTTAAATACAGACGGAAAATTTGGGATCGGGCCACACACAGCCAGGAAAACGCTTGGGGAAGAGCTGCATCCTCTTCCTGCTCTGCCCTTCTCATGCATTGATTTTCCTCCACATTCATTCACAAATGCTCAGCACAGTAGTGAACGATTTAAAGTCAAAGGATGCAGGAATTACTGGCTCCAGGCACAAGCTGAGGGCTTTCCTGCATCCAAATCAGGATGGAGGTGGGGGCCAGGGGCCAGCCAGCAAACACCCCATTTCCATCCCTTCAATGAGGCTGAAGTGCTCGCCCTTATCCCCATAACGGCTCTTTGCTCACACAAGCACCAGGCTTTGTCTTTGCAGTCCTCATTTAAACTCGAGACAGAGGAGCAGAGGGCTGATTGCAGCCGGCAGGAGCCCGCTCTGCTCTCTCAGTGTTTGTGCAGGGGATGCAGAGCAAGGCCCCACCTGTGCACCACGGCTGCTTCCTGCTCAGAGGGCCAAAAACTGCACAGAACAGCAATGGAATAAAAGGATGAATGAAGACAAATGACTTCTCTGGATTGTGAAATGAGAAACTGGGCGTGAAGGACCCCCATCCCCACCCTACCTACAGGGAGGGATGAGCCCAGCACAGAAAAGGGCAGGCTGGTGTCTCTGCCATGCTGCAAGCTGAGCAAAATAGCAGCAAAAAGGGGAGGACAGGATGCACCAAGGAGATAGGGGCAGGAAATGCAACTAGCCCACAGCACTCAGCACCCACTTATGCAATGCTCTGAAACACACCGTTTTTCTCTTGCTCTGCCCTATGGCTGCAATTCTTTTCTTTCTATTCATCAGCTGAGATGAAGTCATTGGGAAGGCAGAACGTGGCTCATGTCAGTGCTGGGCATTAAGGACAGGGAGATAGCCAAAGGGTGCAAGGCAGCATTGCAGAACACTGCCTGCAAGTCTGCTCAGCACGGCATCACATCACCTATCTCCACTTGCTCTCACACATTTCCCAAATTAGAAACAATCAGAATGTGACTGGAAACAACACACAGCTCAGTAGCTCCATGTATTCCCCAGTTTTCACCCCAACACGCACCTGTTGTACTCAGTGCCAGCCCAAGGCTTCATCCCACCCAAACACGTTCATGGGATATTATTATTCCTGGGACCAAACATCAAAGTTTTCTTCACCATCCCTGGGAATTTGAACTGATCTCCCAACGCAGCGTAAACAAGTCCAGCACTGGGAATAAACAAACTGAACATCGTTACTGAGCACAACAGGAAGACAATTAGAAGCATACACTGAGTACAGAACGAGTGGGGGGGTGTGGAGAGACAGAATGCACTGAAAAGGGGTCTGTGGGGTCTATAAAGCTGGATCAACCACAGCCTGAAAAGGGGTCTGTAGGGTCTGGATCAACCACAGCACTGCTTTTTTAATGCAGCTTCTCTGTGAGCTCCCACACGCTCCTAAGGCAATTATTTAACAGTTCCAGCCGTCTGTTCAATAAATCAAGCGAGTCAGGCTTTGGCTTTGCTCTCAGTGGTGTATTTAGTAATTCCATAAATCCCCGAATCCTGGAAATTACTGAGCTTTAGAGAAACACAAAATGGACATTACTTCATCACCCATCTCCATAAATCAGTGTGGGTCGGGGGCTGCAGATGAGGGTGCCTGGTGGTGTGGGACACAACATGCTCCCATCAGGCACCGATGCTGCTTTGGGGCCGTGGGGTGGGAGCAAGCTGCCAGCAGCACCCATCTCCTGCCCCATGCCCATCCAGGAGTGGCTCCGGGTCAAAAATGGGGAAGAAGACATGAAAATGGAGAATGGACAAGGCAGAGTGCAAAATGCTGTGCTTAGGAAAAAAAGAGAAGTTCCCATCCCACGTCCAGGTGCACCAGTGTGTGATTTTACAGCTGTCTGCATTTCTGGACAACGCAGTTTCTTTAGTTCTTGGGAGAAGCTCTGCTATCAGGAGCAAACGTAGATAAAATAGTGATCTATATGAGGACAACTTGAAACAAATACAAATAAGACTTAAATCGAAGCAAATACCCAAGCTCCAGAAAGCAAGGGATCAAAACCACCGTGTGATTAAGCAGCACGCACTCGGTGCTGAGGGCACTCAGTTATTCACTCCAAAAATCCAGAGGATGAGAGGGGGTACAGTGGGTAAGGTCACCCTGTAATGTCAGCACCAACGCAGAACTGAGCCTTGGAGGATTCCAGCACCTGCCTTTTCTTTCATCTCAGCACAAAATGAGATCTACTTCTTTACACTTCAAAAGCCACGACGTGCAACAAATAAGATACATGCTAAGCAAGAAGGCACAGAAAACACGCCAGCATCTTTCAGCATCACGTCTCCCCCGTGTCATCCATTATGTCAGATCTATCTATTTTTACTTAATTCTTGTTCCACTGATATGCATCCTTGCTCTCCAGGCCATCAGGCTGGTTAGACTTGAACTCAATATGGCTTCTTAAAATAGTTGAGAAATATCGCAAGTCTTCCTCACAGCTTTTTGCATTTACTTAAATGAATTCGCTTCCCAGTCAAAGCAGCTTCGCTTCTCCTCATGTTTCTAAACCTCTTTTCAGCATCAGCCCTTTCTGCTTTCATCAATTCAAGGAGCCTCCTGCGAGGATCAGTCCTCTGTGACAGCACAATGCTGTCAGCCGGACTCACAGGAACGCTTTTCAGTCGTATTTTTAGAAGAGAAAAGAACGAAAGCCCACCGAATTTAATCCCTGATGGATTTTCCTACTACAGACCGCTCCCTGTGCATCTGTGATGAGAAACTGCAAGCTCTCTTCAAGTTTGGGTGGAAAAAACCTGCTCAGAAACACGTATGGTGAAAGGGAAAAGCAGCTCCTGTGTTCCTATCTCCCTACTGCTCACGTAGGAGCAGCCGCAGGATTATCTCAGCCAGCTACTGAACCAAAGTTCCTACAGCACACGTTGTGCAGCCCAACACCCGGTGGGACCGATTCCATCACAGAGTCACTGCGGTGCTCCAGCACTGACATCACTCGGGAACCTGAGCTCCTGTACTGAGAGGTGCTACCAAGGAAACAGAGAGCTGTGGTTTTGCCATAAAGAGATTAACTATTACGGTAAGAAGTTTTCCAACACACGTTTTCTTGCGACTTCAGTCATGAGAAAAGGAGAAGAAATAATTAAGAACACCATAAAAAGCGAGTGCAACGCTCTGAACCAGCCCGTGCTGGATCCAGGCTGCGTCTGCAGTTTATCCCCAACTTGTTCCCAGCAATTACAGGCAATGTCAGCGGGGTGACACGCACCCAGCAGCCCACACAGGTGCACCGTGTGTGCTGCATCACCGACAGCTCTCCAGCACTTCTCCGTGCCACAAGGCCGTTTTGATTTTATCTTCCCTCCCCCCCCCCCCCACCTCCCCTCCGTGCTTTGGCAGGAGCGCGTTTCCCGTGAAGGTGCTTTAAAAAAAAAAAAAGAAAGAAAGAAAAAAAAAAAAAAGAATCCTCTGGCAGGAAGCAGAGCGGCCAGCAGCGCCCTAACAATGGCTGCTGCAAAACCCTGCTGGCGGGCGGGCAGCGGCTGCACAAAGGGCTCAAGGAGCCCCTCCAGCACAGCAGGGCGGCCCCATGGGGTGCAGAGGTTGGGGAGGGGGGCGAGGGGGGGGCACCGTGTGGGATTTTCTCCCCATGCTGCGTGGGGCCAGCAGACAGAGGCAGCTGGGCCTTCTTGCCGTCACAGCCCCCCAGTATCCCCTGTGTGCCTTCAGGAGCCCCTCAGAACCCCCAGTACCCCTTCCAGAGCCTCACAGCATCCCCTGTACGCCTTCAGGAGCCCCTCAGCACTCCCTGTGCCCCCATAGGAACCCCTCAGTACCCCCTGTATCCCCTCAGGAACCCCTCAGCACTCCGTTTAGAACCCCCAGCACCCCCTGTATCCCTTCAGGAGCCCCTCAGCACCCTCTGTATCCCCTCACCCCTCCTAAAATCCGCTGTATCCCCTCACAAGCCCCTCAGCACCCCCTGTACCCCATCCAGAACCCCTCAGTACCC